GAGGGGGAGGGAGGGAAAGAGAGAGAGAGACATCGATGTGAGAGTAACATCACTTGGCTGCCTCCCACATAAGCCCCAACCGAGGATCAAATTCGAAACTGGGTATGTGCCCTGACTGGGAATCAAACCCATGAGCCCTCGGGGCACAGGACTATGCTCCAACCCACCAAACCACACTGGCCAGGGCAAGCTGAAAGGGATCTTAAAGATTACAATTAGTCCAAATTTTCTTCATTTTAAAAGGTGAGGAAATTGAGGCTACTGAGAGGTTTTCAACAGTTGAGGATAGGGACTGGAAACAAATGCAGAGCTTTCTACAGAAGAGTCTGTTCCTTCCACATTCATTATTTGTCAAACTTTTTCAACACACTACTCTTGATGGGCCTGAGGGAAATGGCCTAAAGCCATTTCCACTATGTGAATGTTAACATTCGAAATCTCGGTGTCCTACCTTAAAAATTCACGCCACTTAGAAGTTCCACTCCAAAATATTGTTTATAAACTGTACCTCTTCTCGTAATGACATCATGTCACTTGAAGGAACAGGAAAGTTAAAACTCCCAAACTCTCTCACCTTAGCAGGTCACCATGCTAGTCCTCCCATAGAAGGCCCGAGCCCAAACAATGCTGTGGACACTGTCCTCTTATGACTTCTCTTAAAGGAAGTCAGGGCTTCCCTCAGGAAACGGGTCAATTCACAGTCCAGCTTGGTTAGAGCTGGTTTTATTCACAAATTACATTTTAAAGCAAACACTTATTTCCTAGACCTGTTCATTTTTCCTGCTACCATTTTAACCACAGAGCCTTAGCTTTACAGGGTGAATGTAAATGTTGATCAGTGTAACGAAAGTGAAGCACTTAGCCCTGGACAGGTAGCTCAGTTGGTAAGAGCGTCGTCCCCATATGCGAGTTGCAGGTTAGATCTCCCATCAGGGCACATACAGGAACCAACCAATGAATGCATAAAAAGAAACTTGCCCAGTCATCTGGCTGGAATCTGACTCTGGGTTAAAATCTGTCCAGAGCTCATGCTAAATCACCGCCATGCTACTATAGCATATACTGATCTATTAAAATTGCTTTACATTACTCATACAGATTTAATCCCATTATGATGAACTCCTAAGAACTGTATTTAGTTATATGGAAATTCAGTAAAACTCTAAATGCTCTAATAAGTGGGCTATTGGCTGGAGTGGGAGAGTATTTCTGAGTTAACAAAATATTACCTATAGAAACTCAACTTCTCTTACCATGTGGATATGCTATACTTGTGGCACAAGTTTTTGAGGTGGCAGCAGCCAGCATCATTCCCACAAAATCTGATGCTTCTTTGACAGATTCTTCATCATTTTCCATCGTAGAAGCAATCTTATATTCCAGTAGTTTTTGTTTAATACTTTCATAAATAACAAAATGGATAACAGTCTCTGATATGCCAGCATATGAAGCAGACATGCCCCTATAAAATCCTCTAAGTCCATCTGTCTGATACACTTTACGAACACATTCAAAAGCACCCATTCGCTTTTCCCCACGGTTTCTGAAAAGCAAAATTAAAAAAAATATATTTTTAATGTAAATAAAGTAGTACATGCTTTTAAGTAAAGCAAACAAAACATAGTAGAAATATGCCATTCTAACATAAAGAATGATTCCCTTTAACTCATGAAGAAGTGAAATCAGAATTTTAAAACATTCATTTTAGATTTTATATTCTTTTATCCCCAATGTGTCATATCAGATGGATAATGTGAGTAGTTTATTTTACTGAATGTGAAATACACTGTACTGAATCTTCAGTTTCATGTCCTCACTGAAGTTTCTATTGTAGGGATAAGCAACAAAATCCTTCGTCCAAACATACTGTGACTGCAGCTCAAGATTAAAACAAAACAAAAAACACATCATATTAAATTCAGTTCTAAGTTAAGAAGATTTCTTTTGCATTTAATAACATAAAAAATGATTGAGACACCAATGACGAGAGTACATCACAAAAGCAGGGGAGCACGATTAATCTAATTTCTGTGCACTCGAGGGATTCTTCCAGCATACCCAGTTCTTCCTAAAAAGTGACTGGGTGAATTTAAGACAAATTTACTCCAATTCTTTGAAGGCCATGGCCCTATCTTTCATTTCAGTGTCCTAGTGAGTAGTGAACAAGGACCTCTACAGTTACCAAGCATTTATTGAACATTGGGCCCAAGAAAATGTTCTTCTTAGCGCTGCTACTTAAGAGTACAGCATAATCTATTCTTACAAGCATATAATTTTGAGTTTATAAAAATAACCTTACATGATGATTCTCCCAACAGAACCCCATGTACAAGAAATGGATTTAAATGCTACCTCCAGGGAAAGAAATAGAAGATTTACCTGTTTATAAATTATACACAGTCTGTTTCTGACATAAAATAAAACCACAACTAAGACACCTACCTGATAACCTACAAATTCCTCCAATTTTATGAACTAAGGCCATCCTCAACTAATGACACTGAATAAATACTTCCTTAGTTGAATAACCCATGTAACCAACTGGAATGAGTTTCTGCCATCAGATCCTTTCTTACAAAGTTAAAAGAGCTACAAGTCCCAAAGGGTAATATGCAAACACATCAGTCCTGTTCTTGAATGCAGTGTTATAAATTAGCATCTTTAAATCAATGTTTCATGATTACCCCAAACTTGTCCCATTCCTCACTCCAAAGCCCAAGAAGTTGTGCTGACTTGTGTTACAATTATAAGTGAAAGAATAACATTAAATAATTTTAATCCATGCTTTTCCTGGATCCCTATAAAGCCACTCTATAACATAGTGAAGAATACCACTAGTAGTTTATATAGTATAAAATAGGCTGGCACCTCACACTTTTCCTAGCCTTTAGTTTGTCTTATCCACTATTAACTAACACCTTTCAGATCTTTGGCTTTAAGAAATAAATGTTGAGTTTTGCTACAACACTTTAGATGTCATTAAAAATTATTCCAGCCCAGCTAGGCATGGCTCACGACCTAGGATCCAGGAGATCGTGGTTCGATTCCCAGTCAGGGCACATGTCTGGGTTGTGGCCTCGATCTCCATTAGGGGGTATGCAGGAGGCAGCCCATCAATGACTCTCTCATCATGTTTCTCTCTCTATCTCCCTCTCCCTTCCCCTCTGAGATCAATAAAGATATATTAAAAAAAAAATGTATTCCAGATGAAAGAATGAGACATTCTTTTCAAGTCTCCAAACATTATGCAGTTCAGCATGACAGAATGTGGAAAACAGACCTTTAATCAGGTGTAATTGTTAATAATTTCTTAGATCAGTTTTATTTATAGTCTACAAGATATAACACTACTCCCCAAACCCTAAAATAGAAAAAAACAATAGAAATTTGTGATGCATAGTCTACTCTAGATTGAGAGGCTAAATTGGTTTCAAAACTATTAACACTATTATAATACACCAGATGGGATCATCTCTCCACTCAACAGCATTAGCTTTCCCCCATCCTCTGTTCTAAAGGCCAACAAGAGCTGAGATGGCAAGACTCTAAGCTGCATTGCTTCCGGTCTTTTCTCAGGTCCCAGAACATGCCAAAGGCCCTAACTTGCATGGTTTGCACTGATTGTTGCCTCTGCTTACAATGGGCTCAAAACACCATTCCTTGACTATTCCATCAAAGTTGGTCACCACTATTTCCTGGTATATCTCCAGAACCTATCACTGCCTGCTCAAAATAGATTTATTTAACGAATGAATCTTGCTACCATGAAGTTGTCAGTGGTAACAGATGAAGCCTATGAATAAAGGAGAGGAAGACCATGCCAGGACTTTCTGTATGCAAGGTTATGAATTTGAACAATGATCCTCAAAGACTTAGTCTAGACTGGTTGATTAGGTGGGTTATTTAGCTGTCGAGAGGCTGATTATAACCACCAATGTAGTGAAAACATCACTATTCGGGCTGGGTGAATGTATCCTTCTTCCTTATCCTTTTATTTAAAAACACAACACACAATACACTATCCTCCCCGAAAGTCTCATACTGTCAACTATACACTTGCTTCTGGCGGTAGACCCAAGATTCTAAAACAAAACAAAATCATTCAGCAGCAAAGGGGAGACATGGAAATCTCACTACTATAAATTCATAGCAAAAAATTGAAATCAAGTTTAATAATTTTGTTTTAATGAAATAACATACCTTGCATCAAGTTGTAACCGAGTCTTTACAAGCCAAATGGGGTTGGTTGCTGTGATTGCGGTAAAACCTAAACAAACATGTTTAAAATGAACTCTGGTAAAAATAAATATGCTATTAATTTTAAGGTTTTAAAAATTATATAAATCTATATTAAAGAAAATGTAAATAAATGTTTAAAATATTAACTGATATATTTTACACTTTTATTTTACAAATCCATACAAACATGAACATTTGTACTTTTCCAATCTACGTTTTCAAATTCTGACCATAATAACTAAAAGATAATCTTTTAAGAGCAAAATCTGACTACATATAAATTCTTCTCCCAAAATATTCAGGATATCCTCTGGGATGTCCTCTACTCTCTAACTAAATTCAGAAGCCCATTTCTATAGATAAACATACAAAAACCTTGTGTATTCTATAGGGCTTTTTACCACGCAAACACTACAATCACTATGTCCAAAATGGATTCTATATCTTAGCATTTACTAATATTTGATTTTAAGCGGATTGCATATCAGAAAGGATTTTTGGCCTTATGAATACTTTATATAGATATACTTAATACTGTTAAAATAATGGTATCAAAGAGGTAAGGTTTCTGTTAGGATTAATAGGACAAATATATTTCTCATACACTTAAACACATACAAAAACTCAAAAGTTCAAAAAGTTACAAATGGAAACTTCCCTCTCATATTTTATAGACACTGAAGAGAGAAACTCAGGGTAGAGGTAGCTCTAGTTTACTTTAAAACTGAAGTAATACTTTTTATCAAATACTTAATAGGTCAAGCACATTATTTTTAGAAAGGTGGACTATAGCCAGCACATTTAATATGAGTAAAGTACTTTCAGAAACAAAAACGCTGTGGTGTATATTAGGGATAAAGTAAAATAATTTTACTAAATCATACACAAAGTGGAATTCAGTCACACAGGTTCTTTTTCTTTTTATAATGTCAGATAATTAGCTAACTCAAATTTTACTCCCTTAATCCACTGCTTTAACACTGTAGAAACAGTCAGATGTTTCACAAAGGTATGCTCAAACTATATCTATCAAGCAACTAAATGAAATAAACGTTTGATGTGAGAACTCTTTAAATAATCTTGTAATGGTTATATAGTCTCCTTTTCTCATAAGTGCTTTTAATACTACATACATATGTATAAAACTAAAATGGGACCAATAATTTTATAAGCATCAGTCAGTACTAAATGATAAAAATTTAAACTGTTAGACATGTTGCCAGGACTAAGGTTGTTTCCATGCTCATATTCTGGTAACAGGAAAGAGAAGAAAAATATGAAACTGTCAGATGAGTTTAAATATTTTGTTTGGAAAATATTTCTCTTGCATGGCCTAGTTTGAGAATAAAATTATATAGTATATATTTTTTCTTCTCTTAAATTAACCTCACTTTTTCTAAGTAAAAGTCAAACTAAAAGTATTCAAATTTTATTTTAAAGCTAATATGAACCAGACATCAGTATTCTGGTCATATCCTTAATTTAATAATTCTTTATTTTTAAACTTAAATATTTGTATTAGCTAAATGAATGTACAGCAATATTAGGGGTTTATTAGTGAAAAGCAGCTAAGCAGTCAAACCAACAAAATAGTCCACATTACTCAAATAGTTTTTATTAATTATTCTGTGAAAATTTAAAAAGGCTAAAACAGGGAATTCTTATATTAAACTAAATAAAACAAAACAAACAAAACCCCCAAAAAACAGCCTATCTAGGTAAAAATCTCATTCAATTTATTATACTTTATTTGAAAAGAAGATAAGCACCAAAGTATTTTAAAAAGTAATTATGTTCTTCTTCTAAAACTTAGTATCCAAAGCTTAATACTCTTCCAAGTCACAAAATTCCTCAGAGGCTGAAAAACCTCCAGAAATGTAAACTTTAAAATATTTATATTATAAAAAAATGAAATTTCAAAATACCCATAAATTATTTTAATTATTCTCTGTACATAGTAAACAATGACAGGAAGCAAACAACAGGTATTTCTCACTTAACTAAAAATTCATTTCCAGATGCAAATTAATCTATGGGATAGAACACATTAAAATTTAGGTGAGAGAATGTTGTCATCTAATCCCTATATAATTGCTATTATCAGTAATCTCTGTTTACTATCGTTGTTTCAGCTCAGCTCTCCCAATAAACTAGCTCTGAATAAAGACACTAGCCTAACTGCCAGCAAACCATTAGGTTACAGAATTTAGACATATCCAGTGGTTTTTAGCTACTGGTCTTATCTTATCAAAGACACTCCAATAAATTAAGTAGACATTATTAGGGTAATTAAAACTAGAAAAATATAACCTATTAGTTCAAAAAATGAAATAAGTGGGAAGAAACAAAAATGCATCACTAATTTAGAATTATATATGGTAAGGCAATTTGAACTCGACAAACATCCAAAACTGAACATATTTTCCTATTTTTTTCCTAAGAAAAACATACACAATGATACTGGGAATGGTGCCCCTGAAATTTAGAAATTTCTAATTACTTTTTATTTTGGCATTTAAATTTTGTGACATTTTGCTAATATGCTAATTCACAGTAATATTCTGAGTACCCTGTTAAATATTAAAACTGACTAAGAGGTATACAAAGGATCTATTTGTGGGTTAAAAATTAATGTTGCTCCATAGTCAATTAAAGCCATGTGGCAGTATACTGGCCATACTGTTAGTAGTGTGGTTAGTATTTTATTAGAAAGTTTAAAAAAACTCATAAAATACAATTTTTAAAGTTTTGCTTCATCTAAGACTCCATATGATAAAATAAGCCAGCAATTTTCAACCTTTTTCATCTCATGGCACACATAAATTAATTACTAAAAATCTGCAGCACACCAAAAAAAATATTTTTTGCCAATCTGATAAAAAAGAAAAGGTATAATTTTGATTCCCTCACACCAGACGTCCTATTGTTTTGTTGGCTGTTGTCATTTTTGTATTTGCCTTTCTATGGGAACAGAAGTCTGTGCCCGACTGAATAGTCAGGTATCATGCTTTAAAAATTCTTGTGGCACATTGGTTGAAAATCGCTGACATAAACCAATTAAAAACCAGATTAACAGAAATCCCACTTATATAAACTCGCTGAAAATGTCTATTTCATTAAGTGAGTGATACCTGTAGTATTGCACTTTTAGTATTTTTTTCATTTCAATTAAATTCTTTAGTAAGAACAAAGCCCACCTAATTAAGGGAAATATATTAACACTACTAAAAAAAAAAATTAAAACAAAACAGCTAAGATCCTATATATTCTTATCCTGCATTTATTTGGAAAGTAATGGTAAGTATTAAGATCAATGTTTTTGTAAGAGAGTAGAAAAAAGCCAAGTATCAACAGACAAGAGAATAGAAAGCACTGTATTAGACTTTTAAAATATGTTATGCTGTGCAAACAAAACAATTTTTTCTAGAAGTTGTAGGATGCCATGATACCAGTTACAACTATGTGTATCTTAAATAGTGTCATTAAATTTATTTGGTGGTCAAAACTATTATGGCCAACCTGAGGACCCCAGGCTTTTATTACATGATGACTGAAAAGTTACCCATTTATCCTTCTAGAAGGAATATTATAAAGGGATCAGAATTAAAGTTTTTAATTCAGATAACGCACACACAAATTCTGGAAATACAAGCTCATTTCCCACCTTTACTAATTCCATAGCTATTATTAATGCCCAGGGGGGTGTTTCTTAAAACTAGAGGCTGCAAGAGATGCTCAGATCAGTACTCACGAGGTTTAAGTTAGTCCATATTTCTACAGGAAGTGACCTGCGGATGGGGAGCATGAGATGACACGATCTCACTCTTTTCTCGGGAGAAATGTACAGTAAATGCCTAAAATAGACACAGGCTTTTCTGTATCATAACAACAAGCAGTGACCTCATCAGAAACATGTGTACAAAATGAATCCCATTGGAAGGATTTGAGAAATATTTACGGTGAGATCTAACTTTTTGAAAATTTTAAGTTAAAAAAAGAAAGAAGTATCAAAATGGGCCATAAATTTTAAAAAATGAACCGAGTACTGAAAATTTTGCCATCTGCAGCAGTTTCAGAGTCCAAATACTTACCTAAAAGACCAATTTTGCCTTAAAGAAAAAAATGCTAACCTTGTCAAAGGGGAATCTAAGAAAATATTTGGAAGGGATCATCATATCCCATTTTCCTACCATTATCATCTACCATGATCCAAGATGAAATCACAACAATTAGCCTACCTCGTAAATCTTAAAATAAAAAACTTGAATATCCAAGTAACTTCACTTTGTAATGATTTATAATTTTTTAAATGAAATATAGTACAGTATATGTTGCTACAGTAGTACCTTTCACCTTTTGCACTATGGCCAGTAATATTGCACATCCATTTTTATGGAATATTTTGGGTTATTTTGTATTTAATTTCTTGTGTTCTACAAAACAAAAAACAGGAAGAATGTTTACACACAAACACATAAAACATCTGTCCAACCATCAATCTGGCTGAATGAACTGCCGTGGACAAATAAAATATTTAAAAAAATATTTTATATATGTAAGACAAAATTTCTATTTAAATTTTTACTCAAAAAACTTAACCTTTAATAATAAACTTTGAGTTGAACAGCAAAATATATCTTGAAAAATAAAAGTAAATGTTATAAGCAAATAAAGCCTACTAAGTATCTAGAAAACGTTAAACAATTATGTGTATTTTAAAAACTGAGCAGTTAACTGTTTGAATATATACTCCAATAAACATTAGAAGTCATTTCCTTTAAATCTGTAATGCTGTATATAAAAGTACATATGTTCCAGATCACAACTTTTAAAAATTGGGAATTACTAAAAAGAAAGAAAAACTTACTCTATTTTTTTGTATACACAGTTGTGTGTAGGTATGTACAGAGGGATATGCAAGTTCATTTAAATAAAAACACACAAATACCCTCAGATAGCTAAGTTTCATTTAGTCTGACAAAGCTCATATGTAGGGGGGGAAAGGTAGGTAAAGCATGAAATGTCAACATTACTTAATTTGATTAGATAGCCTCACAATTAAAAACATTTTTTTCAGTGCATGAAAATTGAGAGCTCAAATTTGAAGGTTTATAAATTCTTTTGTATTCCCTTGAAATACTACAACAAATGAAAATAAGATTCACTTCAAAATGTCCTTTTAATAAAAAGGATTTAGTATTTAACACTCCAGTTCATATGGATAAAATACAAAATGCAAATGAATTGAGAGGTTACTTGAAATAAAAATTATGTACAAGGTATATTACTAAATCCTTAATGTGTGTTGCTTGATATGGCGCAATATAGCAGGCAATATCATTAATGGACTATTTTTACTGTGTTTTTTAATACTAAAATGACAAGGTTAGCATTTTTTTTGAATAGCCAGTTAAAAAACAATTTTCACATGACTGCCTCTAAGCACTTTGCACCCCCAATTCATATTTATAAGGCCTCTAAAAATGATCCTGAAGAAAAACCAGAGCAATCTGGTCTAGATTATTTCAAGAATGAAGGGGGCAAAAGGCTACCTTAATGAGTCTGCATGGGACCATTCCGTCTCACCAACCGTGTAGTTATGTATAAAAACTGCAAAGCTAAATGTTAATGCTCGTAAACAGTGCAAGAAAGCTCTGAAAGCACAATTCTTAGAAAAAAATGTAACTGCAAACAAATTAAAGTATTTTCAAATTACAGTAAGTGTATGTATAGTACAATAATCTCTGAACAAATATAAGATTATCAATTAACCAAAATTCAAGGATTCAATTTGGGAAATGGTATCAATGTTTAGAATAAAAACAGACAAAGTTAACACTTGCATATATTTGGGAAAAAAGTACAGAATAACAATTCCACTGTAATTCTTTGCAATGTGATACAAATAAATTCTGATAAGATATTCTAATGGAAAAAAAGTTCCAGTGGGACTTATGATATTCTGACACTCTAAATTTGCAATATTGAATACATAACAACTTTCCTCACTTAAAATGATTGCTCATCTACTTTCTTGGTTTTAATTCTTTCAAAAAAAAGAAAGCTTAACATTTCTTTATAATTTTCTGGGATTAAAAAACAAAAATGTTTAGCCCAGACAGCGTGGCTCAGCGGCTGAGCATCCATCTATGATCCAGGAGACTGTGGTTCGATTCCTGGTCAGGGCACATGCCCCGGTTTGTGGGCTCGATCCCCAGTAGAGGGTGTGCAGGAGGCAGCCGATCAATGACTCATCACTGATGTTTCTCTCTCTCTCCCTGTCCCATCCTCTTTCTGAAATCAGCAGATATTTTTTAAAAAACAAAACAAATAAAAAACCCCAAAATGTTTAAACACTGGTAATCCAGAAATATATTCTTAAAGATCTTATAGCTTGAAATTAGCTACTAACTTTTACCTTATACCCACTGAATGTGCAGAGGGAAAATCATATCTATTTGTATTCAACATCTGTAAAAAGTACATAAAAAAATAATTCTAGTTGTAACCAGATGACCTCTACGGTACTGAAGAGCTAATTCTCAAGATCCAAATCTATATAGAGCAACTTACTCATTCTAAGGCTAAGGTAATGGAGGTTCACATAAATTACTTAACTTGCCCAAGATCTCTCCACATTAGTAAATAAGAGTATTTCACCACACTGATCTTTAAGGCTTTACCTTCCAGCTTTAAAACTTCAATAAATTAGTTAACAATTACTAACTATAAAGAGCCCTGAAAATATTTTGTAAGGTATATGCCAGATTTATTATACGACAATTGACCTTCAGAAATTAGCATTTCAAACTTACACTTAGTTCGTTAAGTATGTGGTTCAAATTGATCCAATTTATTTCTAAACAGAAAATGGTTAACAGTTTAAGGCACTCATTGTTAAGCACATAACAATTAATTGATCAACAAGTGAAGAAAGTAGATACAATTTACGTTATAAAGCCATAACATAATTTGGAAATGTGAGGTATGGTTCAATATGCAACAAATCTCAGCAAACTGTAGAGATTTTTCTACTGAGAACCAAAGGTCATGGCTTTGTCTAACATGCATAGCAAAAAATGATTCCAGAATCAGACTGGTCAAACCAATCTTTAAGGCAGGGCAGAGAGAAGCCCAGGACTAGTTGTTTTAATTCAGAATCATATATACTCAGTGACAGAATAATTCCTGGAAACATTTCTATAGCAAGCATGTACATAGCCAGTGCCTAAATTTCAAGTGCTATCCAGTGTGATTTACATGAAATGCTAAACATATATTTCAAAATACATACATTACAGTAACTCTGAGTTATCAGTACTACATCAATGTCAGCATTTAAGCACAGTACAAAATGAATACTTTACCAAAAACTGCCGGCACATTTCAGACAGAAGCCAAAACATGTAGCAAAAAGGAAAAGGCACTAACAGAAATTGAGGAGAGAAGAATAAATTACAGCTCCATAATTTACTGAAAGTGTAATTATGGTTGGATTTTTAAAACTGTTAAAAGTGATCACTAAATATTCAGTAAACTACACAAGACAATGTAAATACTATATTACCTGTATGTATCACAAACTCCTAATTACAAAATGCCAATTGACAACAATTCTTTATATTACCTCCTGATCAAATGTATTGTATAATAAATGTAAAAATCTTGTTTGTGGATGCTAATCAATGAGAAGCACATTGTCTTAACTTTACAATTTAAATTGATCATAATTCAATATTAAGTCTCTAGGTTTCAGAAAATTTTTTGTTTTTTAATATTACATAGTCATACCTGCCACTGCAGCTGAAATCATGTGTACCTGGGTAGAGTCAGGATCAAATACACCATTTAACTTTTCCTTGCAGTTTGAATAAGCAGCGAAGTATATTGCTCTAAAATAAAGATTTAAATTTTATCAATAAGCATGTTGCTTAATTAATAAGATTTAAGTGGCATGTAAATTAATCTTTATCATTTTAGAATAGAGAAATCTAAAAACATAAAGTCTTAGCTGTATGCTCCTGTAACCACAGGTTAATTTACACATTTTTCCATGAAGACCCTGATGCACTTTTTGTATCGACTCATTAAGAAAAAGACAAACTCAAATGTAAATAAAGTTCCTCAGACACCCCCTTCACCGTGCCCCAATACTTTGAGAGCAACTGAGTATAACTGAAAGTTTTTGTGTAAAATTTTGAAAACACATGATAAGGCTGGAAGGCTTAATTAAATATACTGAATTTAGGAAATGTGGTATGTTTAGTCTATTTGGAAAGTATTAAAAGATATAAACAGTAGCCAACATTGGTAATACATGGTTGAAGAGCAACTAATTTACTATTTAAGAACAAAAATATAGCATGTCTTTTCAGAAGGCAGATGAGCAATATTCATTAATTTTAAATGTGCACAAACCCTTTTATTCAGAAATTCTACTTTTAGGTAACTATCCTAAAGAAAGAAATATACTATAAGCATAACCAATGGACAAAGACGATAGTGGGGCGAAGGCCTGGGGTGGGACAGAGGCTGGGAAGAGGGGTGCTAAGAGGGAGAAAATGGGGGACACATCTGTAATACTGTCAACAATAAAAAAAAAGGAAAGAAATATACTAATTTAAGTACTCAAAGATAAAGGTAGAGTGAAGTTCACAAACTACTGGTGTGGTTTTTTTTGAGTGGGAAGGAGGGAGAGAGAGAGAAATATGGATGCAAGTGAAAATATCAATCAGTTGCCTCCCACATGCACCCAATGGGGGATTCGAAACCAAAACCTGGGTATGTGCCCTGACTGGTCATCAAACCCACCACCTTTTGGTATATGGGACAACACTGCAATCAACTGAGCCACACCAGCCAGGGCACAAAACCATTGTTTTTAACAGCAGAAATATGAAAATAAATCTAAAGGTTTATCAATTTAGGAAATGCTTATTAATGATGGAATAGTTATACTATGCAATTTTTAAAAAAACTCTACATATTTTCATGAAAAAAGGCTTTAAGACAAATTGGGCGAAATATTTTTAATGATTCAATATATGTAAATGATAGTAAGCCTACATTTATGTACATGGTAGGCTAGAAAAATTAATGGAAGACTATACACCAAACTGTTTATTAATGATAGATTTGTATAAGGAAAAGAGTAAGTGTGTGTAGGAAGGGAACGTGCATTGGGTGAGAAAGAGGTGATGTGTTTAAGGTATAATGCCAAGCTTTATGCTATATGCTTTTTTTGTCCTTATAATAAGGCTGAAATTTGGGGTAATTTTTAGAGAGAAAATAGCCCATAAAAAGTTCAAACCTAATAAATAATGAGACATGGGACGGGTACACTGTTTGGATACAGTGTATGGAAGGCTGGGTATGCATTTTCACTCTGAATGTGAAATCTGCACGGTGTTCTATCATGGAAGAAGTCAGTCTAAGATAAAAAACATATCCAAGAAAAATGACAAATTAATGTATGAAGTCCTTTTTGGCTTCTTTAACAGGGACTGAAATCATTCTATCTGTTTAGCTTATTCCCTAAATCAAAAAATAGGGTTAGTTCTAGAGATCCAGATCTTCCCCTTTCTTTCTGTTAGTTTCTTTATAGTTTGTTCTTTGCCTCTTAAACCTGGTGCAAAACTGCTTCACACTGATCTCACTATGAGCTCCTTTGTAACTGTTATACCATAGTGCTTTATCGTTACCACCTTGACTTAAGCATCTCCCCTCATTAAGCTTGAAACAAGAAAAGATTGAGACAATTTTGCTTAAATTTTTTTTTTACCTGGAAGGAGCCACCCCCACCAAATTGGGGCCTAATCCTCTAAACAGGGAGCGAGGCCCTTCTTTTTCCAAGATCACCCTGAAAGAGAAAAATATTACTTATATGAACATCTGTTTTTCTTGCAATAGCATAAGTTACTGAAGACTGATACTAGATTTACTAGTGATAACAATAAGAACTCCATTTAGATTATGTTCTAAAAGTTTTAAAGATGTAACAGTATAGATTTTTACATTTATTTTCATATTGTCATTCTATGTTTATCTTTAATCACCTCCATTTTACTATCTTTACCAGCAAATTCAATTCCCAATTAGACATGTAGTTCCCTCCTAGTATTTAAGGTCCTTTCCACGATATTGAACAATCTCTCAGTACTGCAGCATTATCTCATCCAACCATTCCAATGAAATGCTATGGCAAAATCTAACATCCTTGAGGGTACTAAAATGTTTGGCCTGCTACCATTTCTCCCCCTACTCAGTTAACATTTACTATATAGAATATTTAACATCTACTACAAAGACTAAGCAGAGTAAAAAGATAGAAAAGAGAGGGTGAGGCCCTTGCTACTGAGAAATCTGTGGATTGTGGAAATAAGAATTATATTGAAACAAATAATTTAACAGAACATATTAATAAGCAAATACTATACAAGCTAGATACATATGCTCTGTAGGGGAAGGAAGAGGTGCATGTCTAAGGAAGGAAGGCTTTCTGAGGGTGAGTTATTAAATTAAGTTTTGGAGATAAGAAACAGAGATTGAGGAAGAGTAGCATCTTAATTTAGACCCAACAGGCTGGGCCAGTGGTTCTTAAGCATCTATATGCCTAAGAATGATGTCTTGAAAGGAAACTGAGTATAATGGTTAATTAAGGATTTGAGTTGCGGGTCCAAACTTCTCAATATGAAGCCTAATTCTGGTAGCCGAGCAGCTGTGAAACCATAAAAACATAACTTTTCTCTTATCCTTATTCTCATCAGCAGTAAAAACAGAAAAACAGTACTCTCATTTTGGGGGGTTACTGTGAGGAATAAATAAGTTAATATATAAAAAGCTTAAAAGAATACCTAGCTCACAGTAAGCACTTGTTTAAAATGCAGATTTCTCTGATCCCGCCCTCAGAGTATTCTGATTCAAAAGGTATAAGAGAATGCTTAGCAATCTGCATTTTCACCATGCATCCAGGACTGACACAGGTCCTGATACACAACCAGTTTTTTGTTTTTGTTTTTTCAAATTATAAGAGAAGGGCACTTGGAGCTTAGGAGAGGGAAAGGCAAAGGTAATGTGCATGGGGAGAAGAGGAGGAGGGTGGAAAAAGCCCGGCAAGAGGGAGAGGGCGCCCAGAACCAGTTTTGATAAACTAGATTAGACAGAAGCAGAGTTAAGAATGACAAATTATAAAGCACATTTTGAAAATTCAGTGTTTGTTAGCTCTTTCTGTATCACAAGTCCCCTTCAGAAATTAAGGAAGGTGTCCTTTTAAAAAAATACACATTTGCAAATACAATTTTGCATACAATTTCATCTAATTTTTATATACCTCTTGCAACTCAGCCACGAGCCATCTAAGAAACTAAGAGAGCCTGGGGGGATTCCTAAAGTTCCTGGTTAAGAAGCTATGAAACACTTCACACCCACAAGGAAGGCTGTAATAAAACAGACACAAAACAAGGGATGGGAGGATGGGCAGAACCGGGAAATCTCATTCACTGGCCTTGGGAATGTAAAATGATGGAGCCACTTTGGGCACAGTTTGGCAGTTTCTCAAAATGTTAAACATAACATAAAATTACCATATGACCCAGCAATTCCATTCCTAGTATATCCCCAAGAGAAATGAAAACCTATGTCCCTATAGTGGCATTATTCATAATACCCTCAAACTGGAAACAAGCCAAATATCCACCAACAGATGAGTAGATAAACAATGATATATTTGGCAATAAAGATAAAATCTTTTGGTAGAGAAGGTAAACACACAGTGTGAGTTTATTTGCTACTACAAAATAAACACTACTGAACCAAGTTCAAACAGATTATGTCCCAAAGTGAGCTGATAAGGCAGACACACAAGGCATTCAGTTACATACCTAAGTTTAAACATGTAAAACCTTGTTTCAACAGTTTTGAAATTTCAAACCCAATTTGTAACATAATGAAGTATGGTAAAACATAAAAACCAATCTTTTTTAAAGCATCAAGAAATGTTAAACACTGAATCACATTTTAAAATCAGTAGAAGTCTGCTTTAACTCTCAATTATTGTTTAGGTTACATAAAAGTCACAGACTACCATTAATTAAATGTACTTACTTAATTCAAAATAAAATACCTATAATAGTTTTAGCAAATAAATCCACTGGATAAATGCAAAAAATATTCCAAATATACACGAGTCAGAAATAATACATTTTATATTACCCAACTAACTGTTCCTGTCCACTAGGGATGATCGTTTTTAATGAACACATTCAGAGTAACTCATTGTTTGTAAAAACTTTAAAATATGACAGAATATAAACAAATACATTCACATTAAGGTAAACAGACTAAAAAAAAATAATACTGTGCTCTCACTTTAGGCAATGGAGAGGTCCAGGAGACACTACTCGGTTGACACTGGCTCCAGCCATGGTGTTCAGCTGTACTTCAGAGATATAAAGCGTCAGAGAAGATGACTGTAGCCGTGTTTTTACAACTTCCAGTGGACATGTCAGAATAGCTCCCACGGTACCTCCACATCTACAAAAAATAAAAAGAACAAAATTTAGCTACTTAATTCATAAGTTAGTACACATGTAGGCAATTGGAGCTTTGCCAAGGTACTAAAACGTAACATTTACTATTTTAGAAGACTAAATAATTTTTTAAATGTTTCATTTAGTTGAATGCCTACAAAAACACCTTTGGTAGCTAGAAGGAACTGAGCTTAATACCTCACAAGAGTTAGAAGACAAATACTCAAGAAATTTCCTATCTTGTACCCTTTCTTACACAGCTACTAAAGGGTATGTTCCACAAGTTAAGGGAGTAACTAAAAAGTAGGGAACACCTAAGACTAATACAATGTTATATGTCAATGATATTTCAATTACACAGGGAGGAAAAAGAGGGAACTGAATATAAGACAGAATAACCCAGGAGAGGGAGAACAGAGTCCCAACATGACAGTGAAATGTCAAGACTTAGAAAAATAACCAGGCCAGATAGGATTAGGATGACAGGGTTCAGAGGGACAATCTCCAGGGCGGGGAAAAAAGACTAAAAGGCGAATATATTTGACCTTATGAAAATATTCAAGTATAAGTACTCACATAACTAAACAAACATTTTAAAATGTAAGGCAATTATTAACTCCAAGGGGAAATGAAGTTATTCAAGAAAATGAAGTTATTCAAAATGAAGTTGTCAATACACAACTTAGCTGTGCCATCGATATTTAGTCATAGTAAGGTAAGCACTGACTACTGATTTAACAAAAAACTGTGATGTAAATAACTACATACCGAGAGGAGGGAAAGAGGGGAAACAAAGAATGGTATGCTGTAACTAATCCTCATCTACCAGACAAGAAAGTATAAAGAACATACCAAAGGAAATAGCTAAGACTTACAGGAAGTTCCTATTAGGGAGATGTGAAGAAAGAACTGGGGAAATGCTGGTTTTTATTATTTTTCAGCAGTTTTTTTTAACCTTTTGAATACATTTTTTAATTAAAATTTTAGCAGTATTTTTAAAAAACAGCAGGTGTTTTTAACTAGAGAATGTAGTTGATATTTCTGGGACTCAATGGACCCCATGAAAGAAAGGATGTATATAGTATGCAAGTATCTTTGACTCAGAACTTCAAAATAAATCCAGAATCTTTTTTTTTTTTTTTACATATACCTTTATTGATTTCAGAGAGAGGAAGGGAAAGGGGGAGAGAGAGAGAAACATCAATGATGAGAGAGTCATTATCAGCTGCCTCCTACACACCCCCTACTGGGGATCGAGCCCACAACCCAGGCATGTGCCCTGACCCGGAATCGAACAGAGATCTCCTGGATCACAGGTCGAGGCTCAACTGCTGAGCCACGCCCGGCTGGGCTAAATCCAGAATCTTCACCACTTCTCACCATTTCCACCCTGGCCTAAGGCACTGTATCTTTTTTTAATTATTGAATTTACTGCAGTAGCAATGGTTAATAACATTATATAATTTTCAGATGTCTAAAACTATAATTTGATTCTATGTACTCTACTGTGTATAAGCAACTACATCTTACTGAGGTTACTGCAGTAACCTCTTAATTAGTGTCTCCCTGCTTCTACCCTTGCCCCAGCCCCTCTAATTTATCTTCAAAACAGTAGTGAATGACTGTATAAAAAACTTTAGTTAGATCAGTCACTCCTCTGCTCAAAACTTCCCAGACTTCCTAAGTCACAGAATAAAAGTCAAAGTCCTCCCAATGGCCTACAAGATCTTACACAATCTGCTCTTTACTGGTCCCTCTGACCTCATCAATTATCCACCTTCTCACTGCTCCAGTCACACTGGCCTCTGCAATAACTTAATTACAGTTGATCCTTGAACAATGTGGGGGTTAGAGGTGCTAAACGCCCCCTATCCTCATACAGTTGAAAATCCACATATAATTTTGGACTCCCCCCAAACTTAACGACTATATTAGAGTTTAATACACCAAGCATGATCCTACCTCAGGACCTTTGTTCTTGTAGTTCCCTCTATAACATTCCTGCCTGGATTATGGGAATGGGTTATTACCACACTGCCTTACCTTTGCTCAGCTGTCACTTCTCAGCGATGTCCTCTCTGATCACCCCATATAAAATCATACCAATTCTTTGTCCACCTTCCTTGAACTATCCTTTTCTACAGCACATACCACCACTTAACATACTAAATATTTTATGTACCTTTTCTTTTGTGTCCCCTTATGCTATAATGTAAGCATCAGGAAGGCAGCAATTTCTATCCACTACTGTGAACCAGAACCACTGACAGCAAACATTCGTGTTGAATGAATGAATAAACACTGTATCATTTGATATCCTAGGATTTAAGAGATAGGAGAGAGTGTATCTGGTCCAACTTCCTTATTTTGCAGGTGAGGACACAAAAGTCCTGAAAAGGAAAATTACCTGTTCCAGGATGACGGCCAGTCACTTAAAGAACAAACTGTATCTCCTGATTCTTAGCCCAGCTCTTTCTCTCCCTCTTATCAGTGGCTTTCAATCTTTGACTTCAACCCATGAGAAATATTTTATGTCAAGACGCAGTATACCCACACGTAAAACATTTCAGGATATAGGGGTGGGCAAAAGTAAGTTTACAGTTGTGTGTAGATGAAACAGAATTTATTCTAGTATTATTTTCCATATGAACATGTTGGTCATAAAGCAACCACATTTATTTCATAATCCACTAGTGAGCTGCTATGAAATTTGAAACACTGTTCTACACTAATTAGATAAAATTTAACCAGAAAGGGTAGGAGGAAAATTGTTTTTCTGCATTATTACACATCTCGCATAGCTTGTGGATAGAGGTATTTTTATGGGCTGGTCAATTTAGTGCAAGACTAAAGCAGTGTGCTAACTTAATAGCTGAGGGCCGAGGACAACAAATTCTCAGCTTAAAATTAAATGGATGTGAGCACAACTAAAATATATTAGATATATATTGCTTGTCTCATTTATGAATCCAGAAGACAGGGCAGCACAATTATTCTCTTAAGCCAAGCAAGTCATAAAACAATTAATGGAAAAAACTAGAAATTATTTTTAAAACATTCTATATAAAAATCTTATAACATTTAAAATTATGTCTTATTCCACTCCCCCACAAGTTTCTTAGCAATGAATATTGATTTAATATTTTTATTGATTTATAAGCAAATCCCTCATGAACACCAATGTGCATAGCCAATATAATGCTTTAAAAAAATCAGCAAGATAGAAATGTATAATATATTGAGGCTGTGAAGAATCCAGGATCAAGGAGGGGAAGAATCTGGAATCTAGAAGGCCACATGGAAGATCCTGTCATTTGCAACAACAAAGACATTATGCTAAATGTAATAAGCCAGACACTGAAAGAAAAAGACTGCATGATCTCAACTTTTATGTGAAATCTTAAAAAGTTGAATACATAGAGACAGAGACTAGATGGGCAGCTACCTTGGGTGAGGGGGTGGAGAAATGGGGAGGTGCTGGCCAAAGGGTGCAAAATTGCAGTTATGTAAGATAAATAAGTCTAAAGTTCTAACGTACAGCATAATGACTGTAACTATGCAACTGTAACGAATATTGGAAATTTGCTAAAAGTAGATTTTAGGTACTCTCATCACACAAAAATGTTAACTATGTGAGATAATATGCTATAAAGTAATCACTACGTATATCAACATGCTGTACACCTTATATATATACAGTTTTTTAAAAGGCCAAGTAAAGAAGCTCCTATAATTATCTAGGTACGAGGTATTGAAGGCTAACAATCATCAGCTGCAACTGAGATAAAGGGATACAGAGGCTTTCTGATATCTAACTATCGTCCCAAGTCTCACTGGTTCTACACTCAAAACTTCCTTTCATATTTCTCCTCACAATCCCCACTGCAAGTGCCTTAAAGCAAGCTGTCATTTTATTTCTTGCCTTCTAACTGGTCCCGAGTTCCTCTGATCCAGTGATATGGCCAATGAGTTCAGATCAGGTATGTCAACAATATAATTTGCTACTAATAAAGACTAAATTGGATGCTTTACTATTGAAAGAAAAAGTTATAGTTAAAAGTTACTCTCCGTTGCTTTAGATCACTGGTGGGGAACCTCCTGCCCGCGAAATCATTTGGTCTGGCCCTGCCTGCCAAGGTAACTGCAGGTGGGACTCAAAATTCAATAAATCTAGCTTTTTTCATAGCTAATTTTTAAGTTGATAATTTTGTATGGCACGGGAACGACATTATAAATATCCAAACGGCCCTTGGAAGAAAAAAGGTTCCCCAACCCACTTTAGATGCTTTGATTAGAAAAGAATTCCAAGGAGAGAGAGAATAGCGAGGTTTGATAGCAGAAGAGCACACAAGTTCATTATCCTGTAACATCAGAAATCTACGGGACAGTTTCTAAGGTTAACAATCTAGCCTGGCTGGCATGGCTCAGTGTTGAGTGTCAACCCATGAACCAGGTCACAGTTGGATTCCCAGTCAGGGCACATGCCCAGGTTTCCAGGTCGATCCTGAGTAGGGGGCATGCAGGAGGAAGCCTATCAATGACTCTCTCTCATTCATTGATGTTTCTATCTCTCTCTCCCTTCTGCTCTCTGAAATCAGTAAAAACATTAAAAAAAAAAAAAAAGAATCTAACAAAACTGTTAAATGTCACCATACCCTTGGTATACCCAGGTTAGAGTACTGAAACTATATATTCTTAGTGAAACTGTTTGGGTCAATGCTCATTTTAAAGTTTTATAGGTAGATGTCATACATTTTAAAGATATAAAAGGACAAGGTTACTTGGTGAGTCAGGCCATCATACAACTATGCAGTGATTTTAGAAAATATTTAGAACTGTTTAAAAATTCTGGCATGCCAGGTGTTCTAACTACTTACGGGCCTATGATCCCTTGAGTAAAGCAGTGGCTAAAACCTTCTTAGAATGAAGATTTTTTTTTGAAGCCAGGTACAGCGTAACCAAGAGACTTGCTAAAAAACAAAACAAAAAATCAGGTCTTAAAAGAAAGAAGCCTCTTGGGGGCCTCAAAGTGCTCTCCCCCAATTCAAATTATATCAACATATGAATAAGAAGTTTGAGGAAGTGTGAAGAGGATAGGAGGGACGTAAAAGAAACTGTTCACCAAGTATGAATATCAGGCAGATAGATCAGTTTCAGTTTCAGCCATATTGCCGCCAAGAGTCATCAATTCCTATGGCAGGTGAACAAACACAAAACCCCATCAGCAGGATAGCCTCAAGCTGCCGGGCAGCACTAAATCTTCCAGTGTCTAAAGGAGTTTTACTAACCACACCAGAAGAGGAACCCAAGGCACTCCAGGATTCTGCTCAGGAAAAGGTGGGTCATGGAAAAGAATTGCAATTCTAAGACTGTAGTAGTTAGACATATTTCCTTGATTTTAACCTTCTGAGCACATATGGAGCAGGACACTTGTTTTTAATATGCAAGGTAATTTATAAACGTATGAAACCTATTTTGATTGGGTCCACAATACTGCTGTGTGTGTGTGTGTGTATGTATATATAAAATAGATACTTTAGAAATATATTTGTGTTAACTTTAAACAAACCTGTTTTGTCAGACAACTGCAGTGTTAGTTTTGTGAATAGGCTGAAATATTTTGTCATTTTTCTGTCTGCAAATCACACTTCACTGTAATTTCCTAATTAGGGTATTAGCCAAATTAAGAAATACCACTAAGGAGAAAATTCATTAAAATGTTAGGGAAGGAGTTTTTCAATCCAAAACATGTAACCTGTTTCTGAAATCCTATAAAAACCATTTAGGAAGTCTTACCAAAATTGTTTCTCTAGTAGTATATTTGTAGTTTCTCTGAAGCTTTAATGTTTAGGCAAGAAACAATACAAATTCTTGAAATGGTGAATGAAGGGCATACCCCACATACTTGACAGGCTAACTTATGAAAAGTCAGATAGATACAAAACAAAAAAAACAACACATGGTGACCAGAGTTAGCCTATAAAACTCCTGCAATGACTCCTCCCATTTCAGAAAAAGGTCAAGTCCTTTCTTTAATGGCCTAAAAATGCTCTACTCTGTCTATACTTGCCTCATTACTGTGCTCCTACGCTAGATCTTTTCACTGCCTGTTCCCTCTGAAGAATTAACTCTTTCTCCTCCAGATCTTTGCTCAAAAATCACCTTTCTTAATAAGGCTCATCAGACTCACCATCCCCGTATTTAGAAATACAATGCACTCCCACTACTCCCCCTTTATCCTGCTCCACTTTTTCATTTTTTCCATAGCAGAACACCTTCTAATTAATGATCTAATTCAATCCCCTTTTTCAGATAATTGTGGATATTCTTAAACACTACATTAAAACTGACAAGTGGTAGGTTCTTAAAGTTTAGTTGTAATTGGAATCTGAGCTATACTAATAAACTGGACACACTGCTACATTAAAATCCACTGGTTGGTCTAACATTCTGAATCTTCTACCTGTGCATGACTCTATAACATCATGCACTGGTCATATTGGTTCACTAGGTTATACAGGTCTTCCAAATGTCAATATATTTTTACAATTTAAAAAAAATTACACTTCCTATTAATTCAATTTCAAAATCTATAATTTTTGCTTGAGAACTCATATTTTATCATATGGAAAAATGTTATTAGTGATTTTCCTTGAAGCAACAGGCCCACTGCCTTCATTTTCTGAGAAAACATCTGCCAAATAGTCAAGTCTGAATAGTCAGTCTATCAAATGTTCTTTTAAGTAAGAAAGATGCTCATGAAAAGAGGCTAACTCAATTTGAGACTGAAGCAACTACAGAACTACTTTGGTATGCAGAAACACTTTATTCGTATTTCCCATTTTGTCACACAGATATAAAGATGAGTACTCAAGAGTCAAGACGTAATAAAATTACTACATTTTCTGCTTCAACAACATTCGTAAATGCAACTGTTTTAAACTGCTAGTGTCAACAACTACTAGTACAAGGTGACACTGTCTTGAAGCATGCCAAAGCATCAGCAGTTTTACCCATCAATGCTTTTGAACCATTAGTACAAATGCCAATGCGGCGAAAAAGCAAACAGTTTCTTAGTATTTTTAGGAAAATAGCTTTAACCTTTCAGACCAATAAAATGGAGCTCCCAGGGGTCCATGACCCACACGGCTGACACACTTACATGAAAAGTTTCAAGAATATGCCACATTAGGACAAGCAACTTCCCTTAGACTTGTAATCTATTAGTAAGAATGAAAGAATGCCTTTTTACAAGGAAAAGGTGGTAAAAATTATGAAAATAAGAGTATTAAACATAAAGTGGAAGGAAATAAGCTGCATTAATTATACTTTTAAGTATTCTACTTCTGCCCTGATTTACAAGGAAGCAGGTAAAGTAATTTAACAAATTTCTGGAGAATCAACATACTTGACACTGAAGTGGGAATTTCTTGCTGAATAATGAACAGATGGGCTAATTAATTCCATAACAACAAAGCTTTTTAGATAATCTGAGATATTACTCACTGCACATATTAAGCTCTCACTGTCACAGGAGCCACAGAGGAAAACATCCATCCACTTAAGTGCTGAGGGTTTAGTCTTCCCATTCGAGACTCTCTCAAATGGAAGAGAAAAAAATCCAACTGCCCAGTGGGCACATGCAGCTGACACAACACTAGACAATGTGTAGTTCTAGCAAAGAATTTAAAAGTATATTTCATATTGTTTATATATTCATATACAGACATAGAGTGTTCTTAAAAGTACAGATAAAATTAAGCCTATTGACATCCTTTTGCAGGCTGCTGTGAGTTGCCTCCGTAACTCAATTAACATAACCAATGAACTACAAACTCTGAATGTTAACTCGGGCAAAACATAATGGGACCAAAGGGTGTACTAATGAAAGCACGAGTTAGGCATGTGAGTATGTCACCCAGACCCAAGGTCCAGTGCTGGTCTGTTTCAAATGTTCCTGATTTAATAATACAGCCACTAGACTATTAAGAAATCTCTCTGAGAAATACATACTAAATAAATACTATTATAATCAGGCTCCACATTCAGACAATTTTTACCTAAGATTAAATATCACTGTAAAAGGTTACTTAGTTCTTTTAAAATATAGTTTTCAAAATTTAATCCAAATGATACCTGTGTTTGCCCAGGCAACGAGCTAAAAAAAAGATCTCTCCTTTTCTCTACCTAGTTATTATTAAAGTAAAAACTAAATCTTCTAACTCCTAATTTACTTGATTCTATTAGGATAAAAAAAAAAAAAAGAAATCTAGTTTTCTATGAAGAACATCCTAAACTGATTGCCTAAGTAAGCCACTGTGAGATATAAAAGAATAAGACATTTTCAATTAAGAACAATGTCACGGACACAGTCTGATTTGAATTTCCACAATGCTTAGCACACAGACTTCCCGAATATTCAACAGAACTGATTTTATATAATACAGAGCTGGAAGAATCTTTAGCGATCATTTACTTCTCATTTTCCCTGTATGAAAAACTGTTTGAGCCTGGCCGGGCATGGCTCAGCGGTTGAGCGTTGACCTGGGATCCAGGAGATCGGGGTTCAGTTCTCAGTCAGGGCACATGCCTGAGTTGCAGGCTTGATCAATGACTCTCTCATCACTGATGTTTCTATCTCTCTCTCTCCCTCTCCTTTCCTCTCTGAAATCAATAAAGATATATTAAAAAAACAACAAAAAAAACCTGTTTGACCTTGGCTAAGTCAATTTTTCACACCTCAGTATTTTTTCCATATTTCGAAAGGGATGAAATAGATCATCTTTACCATCCTTCCTAGTTCTAATGTTTCTCTAAAACAGATAAGCTAGGTTTCACACTAAGTGACTTATGCAACAACATTTAAATGTAAAATCAAGACGAAATGCAAAGAAAGGGAATTTACAAGGCTGAGCATCTATCTTGTCAGGCCCTACATAGCAGCATCTCGTTTAATACTCGAAATAACCTGCACAGGCTAGTTTCTTCCCGGGAGGAGGGGCTCCTAAATCTATTTATGTTTATATGCTGGGAAAACTCCATTCCTGTTTTTAAAGAAAAAAAGCTAACCAGAAAGGCCTTTCATGTATTAATAATAACAAAGTGACTAATAATAACCAAGTTGATCCTAATCCAAACTGGGAAGTTGGTGCAATCAAGCTAACATTTCAAATAAATGTGCCTTACTTTTAAGAAAACTTGATATATGGATCTATTTTTTTTTTAAATATATCTTTATTGATTTTAGAGGAAGGAAAGGAGAGGGAGAGAGAGATAGAAACATCAATGATGAGAGAGTCATTGATCAAGCCCACAACCTGGGCATGTGCCCTGACCGGGAATCGAACCCTGATCGCCTGTATCCTAGGTCGAGGCTCAACGGCTGAGCCACGCCCGGGGGGGCTGATGTATGAATCTTGAATGCAGAATAATAGAAATGTTAGGACCTACAGAAGGGCCTTAGAGATCATATAGCACGACGTCTTCATTTTACAGAGGAAGCAATTAAAAATCAAAGGGTTTGTCCATTTTTCACTCAAAATAGTAGCCAGAAGTAGTGCAGTCTCCTAACTTTCAGGCATTTGCTAGTGATCTAATTACAAAAGGGAATCCAAATATTTGCACAACAAGGCATGTTTGTAACATCTACATGGCCAATTGAGTTTTTAAAAAAATGATTTAACTTGCCAAGATGATCGGTAAGTGAATCAGCAACGCGGAAACAAACTTTACCTAAACTGGGTCTCACGGATTAAAAGAACTATTTTTAATGACAGAATGGTGGTTGGTCCATAATAGATGTGCACGAAATGTCGAATGAATGTGCCAATCCAAGGAAAGTAATGCCACCACTGGCAACAGATTCCACATGTCCAACTAAAATCAAGACATTGTGAAAAGAATTGCGTACGTATTACTTTAATATTCTTAAAAAGGTCGACTTAAAAACAAACTGTATGGCCTAAGGGGGTGCAACTTTATATGGTCATAGACGCAGAAAAAAAATTATGCCTCAGCTTAATTCACCGTAGCCATTTTTGATAACTCTTTATGATCCCACAGATAACTCCTAAACTTAAAAATGTTACGATTCTCCAAATAATTTGGAAGGAACAAACCTAAAAAGGAGACTAAACTGGCTGAACTTAAAATATCTGTAGCGCTCATACTGGCACTCTAAAACTTCATGCCCAGTCCTAATCCTGCACACACACTATAACCGCCAAAGCTTTTGGCCTCTCCGTACCCCCACACTTTCTCTTTTAAGAAAAGGAAAAGCAGCGGATGCAGCAGAGGACTGGTTTTCCAAAGAATCCGACCTCGCAGGCATTGCCGCTCCGCACTGTCTCTCGTAACCTGGAGAAGCTTGCGAAGGAAAATTTCCAGCAGCTAGAA